AAAATTAATTTATTATAAAATATATTTATAAAATTGATATTAATTATATTCTCACAATTATAATTTTGAAGTTTTCTTTTCAATAAATAAATGGATGAAGCAACATACATTTATTTGTTTGCTGTTATCAGTTGTCATCGTTTTATCACTCTTTATCAGTTGTAATGTATTAACACTCTTTACTATGCTAAAATAAATTTATTTTTCATAGTCTGCTTTTGATTTCGCTAGTGAATGTCTATTTGAACTAAACTTACAGTCCTCTATTCGATACTGAGTAAGAATTGAATGATTGACTCTTAGTTTATGTCACTGAATATTTTCAACATTAAAATTATTTTTTATTTAACTTTTTCTGAGTTTATTTTAACATTTATTATTATATATATCCATCCAAACAGTCTACTTTATTGGAGAACTGAAAACTTAGAAAATGTATTCCTTACATTTTATTCTGAGTGCTTTACAAAACCCATCTTCAGGAAAACAATCAATTAAAATATCAAAATTAGATAAACAAAACAAAAAATTATTCACCTACATTTTTTTTTAAATTTCAAAACTCCAAATAAATGTATTAAGCCCTTACAGTTCAACTGTAAGCTTCTAGTAGCTAACAATTGCTACACTGTGCATAGTCCTCTAGCAATCTACAAACTTGCATGAATAATCCATGTATATCTTTATTTTAATAACATTAATTTTTAGCTTTTGTCATCTTCTCAATAAGACATTTAAAGCAGTCACTTAACGCCTGAGTAGTTGTTGATCTTCCTCAAACTCTTCCTTTAAATCTGAAATATCTTATTCTTACAAAAATCCCTTACTTCTCTAACTTTCTTTCTCATTTTTACTTCTCCCCAAGTAACCTCTACTTTCTTCTTAAGAAACTCCTTGAACAATCTGTTATGTCTTCTTGCCTTTAAATCCAGTATTCCTTAATCTGCTCTCCCATAAATCTTGTTGCTCTTACAAACTGTTTCCATTCTGTTCCCTTTTCCAACAGCATCTCATATACTCCAACTTTCATACTTCTCCCCTCTTCTCTTTTTCATAATATAGCAGATCAAATACAGTCCTGTTTCTTCTATTCTTCCCCCTCTACTACTATAATTTTTTTAAAAAACTCTCTCTCCATTTATCATTGTAATGCATGGGAAAGTTTCCATGCATTACATAAATGAAGTCTTTCCCTTCTCACACTCCTTAATTTCACTTTCTCATCCCAATCTTTTCCTTCAATCTTTCTAACATATCTAAAAACTCATTCCTACTCATATATGAGTCCATGACCATCTTCCTAATTAGATTAAGTTCCTCATCTAGATACTTCCATGTTGAAGATAGGGTCAGTATGCTTCTACCTAGTAACTGGAAAGCCACTTTGCATCTGCAAGGGTCCTGTGAATCTTGGGGTATGTATACTACCTTAAACATGCTTCTCTTAAAGGAAAAGAATATTTGGTACCAATCTAGCTCTTTTTTAACTGTCAAATTTAAGAAGTTATTTTAGCTTCTGACTCCTATTTTTCATCAAAAAGAAAACCTAGTCCCTCATCAAAATCTTCAATAAATCTTTCATCATTTACTTTCATCTTCCAAATCACTAATAATCATTTATATACTTCTGAAACAATTTGATCTCATGTCTAATTTCTTCAATACCTTCTCTTCTGCTTTCCTAACCACTGTTTCTGCTAGTAGGCCAAATATCAGTGAGCCTATTGGCACTCCCTTCTGTTATCTGTAATAGTACCTTCCTTTGAACCTAAAGTATCTGCTGTGAGTAATAAGATGCACCAGATCCAATACAGTACTAACCTCTGAATTTCTAAACTCCTTTTCTGCCAAAAAGGCCCTTAAGAACAAAATAAGCTGGTTTGTCTCACTAAGGAATTCAAGCTTTCAAAATAATATATTAACATTTAATCATCTTCAGTAATCTTATCATCTGCCAGCTCTTCCATTAATTACCATCATCATCAACCATCCAACCACATTCCCTAAGCTACCCATTAATGTACAGTACATTGCCAAGATATTTTCCAGACTATGTTAATGAATCCTGTTTCTCAATATCTAATGAGCAGCTAAAATTCAAATATAAGAACTTAATGCATTTGTAATTTAATTTTTGTTTGACATTTTGTTCAAATTTTGAAATTCAAGAAAAATAGACAAAGTAAATAATGTTCTTGTGTCTTTACTGTTTTATCTATCTAATATTGATGTTTCAACCAGGTTGTTTTCCTGAAGATGGGTTTTTAACCTGAAAATACTCTGAATAAATTATAAGAAATGCTTTCTTTTAGGTTGTGATCCTCCAAGATTGTTTGGACTGATGTGTTTCTAATTGAATTGATTAAATTTATTATACATTTTCTTATTATTTGATAAATAAATTAGAAATGAAACAATATGATATAAAACATTTTTTTGGTACAGTACACTTGTGTTTTCAACACAAAGTTAAAGGTGATGTCTCAGTATTTTGTATTTTTTTTTTCATTTCACTTATTTTATGATTACATTTACAATAAAAACAGCAACATTTTAATGTTTGAGATGAAACTTTCTAAACCTTCTACACCATATACCAGTATGGGAGATTTTACACTATGACCGACTGATCCTATAATTGGCTTGACTGATAGTAAAACACTTCATATTGAATACACTTATGTCGGTGGCCTCTTCATTGACTAATGAGAATGAGTGTTATGGATTGAAACACCAGACAATCATTATAAGTTTTCTAATGTTTTGATTAAATATCCTTGTAATCTGCCTGACTAGTGTTGTAAA